ATAACATATAATAAATGTGTCGAATGATTATCCACGTGGCCACAATATCACATTTGCATGGATGAACTCAGAAACGATAATACAAATACGTGTAAATTTTCATTGGAAATTTGCTATATATTCTGTTCATATATATTTATGATTTCTTATTAGAGAAATTATAAAATAACAAATATATATCTACTTAACACTTTTGTCTTCTCTGATTTGAACACCGTGATTTAGCGTGAATGTAATGCGCACGCGCAAGATTGTAAAATCCAAAAAATCCAGATGATTTCCGGAATTTTTTGAGGAATTTCGTTGATTATTAATTAGCGAAGCTTAATTGAGAAAAAATAAAAACAAATTGGTAATCTTCAAGTACCAATGATGTTTAAAATATATAAAACAATAGACAGTACTCTTCCGATTTATCGGTATTAAAGGCCAGAAATTCGAGTCTATTATTTTAATATAGTAGTATAGATTTTGTTTCATAGCGATGTATCCCATTTTTTTTTTTTTTTTTTGTAAATGTCATGGGATATGTGATAATAAATAAAATGATGAGCATATATAAACAACAGGTTATTGTCTTATTGAATACAGTTCACTTTAGTCAGATTCATTTGTTCAGAAGATTGACCTCGTCACAGTGACCTTGACCCAGACAAAGATTTGCAAAATGACCTACATTTTTGCAGCTTCCATGTGCATGAAGTTCTTGACAGATCAAAACATTACTATACAATGTAGACTAAAATATTTACTGACAGAAACACTAATCAAAAGGTAAAAAAAAACAACTTAATTTGTTCCCACAGGTATATAAAAAATATCAATAAAAAATATTCAACCCCCCGCCCTTTCTAAACAGTAAACTTATGTAAAAATAAATAAATAAATTAATGTAAATAAAATAACAAAAATCACCCTAACCCAACCCAGAATAAATCATTTATTCCCATATTAAATATTAATTTTTTTTCTTCAATGTTGTAAACATATTTAACGTTACATTCTATTTTTTACTGATATATTTTGAACATCTCAGATATTTTACGTATGGACATTGAACGTCACTTATAAATTGCAGATTCTACAATGCACGCAATGCTACCTATTACGTACATTTTTTCCCCTCAAACGGTTTGCTGATATTGAGAAAATCACAAGAAATCGCTATGCGAATGTAAAGTTTTGAAGAAAGGTATACTTCGTTCTTTCTTCGAAAATGCTGCTATTTTTAGAAGTTGGAAAAACCCATGAAGTGTGTATTTGAAGGTATCATCGTTTTGACTGCATATTTTGTCTAACAAAATATATTAACGTGTTTACCTCGGTTTAAAAAGATGAAGCAACTTATACTGTTCAGAAGACACAAGATATACCTGCAATCGTGTACACAGACACAGAAGAATAGGGCACAGTACAAATTCCTGCAATCGTGTACACAGGCACAGAAGAAGAGGACACAGTACAAGCTACTCCGATTGTACAATTCATTTCGAATCATATTTATATGAACCTTATGCAAAAGGAATAAAATTTAGTTTTTAATGGAATTCTCCGGGAAAAAAGAAATTTAAAATGATTAAGATTATTGATTGAGGTATTTTTCCATTTAAAAAAAAAGTAATTTTAGTCAACGTGTTTAATTGTAAAATAAAACTTTCTACAAATTGAACAGAGCTCTATATCATTAATTTATTTGCTCATTTTTACGCATATTGTTGCAAAGAACGATAACTCCTCACGCTAGCGTTTAAAGCGAAATCTCTGTAATAGGTCCTAGTGTATCTTTTTCAAGAACGATTTTAAACTCTTATAAAGAATTTTAAGAACTTAAAAGACATATTAAGAAAAACATTCTTAAGTTAAAATTAATGAAAAATTTTTTTTTTCGTTTTTTTCATAATATTGACAAGCACCCGTGTCCTTATGCAGGCCAGGATTTCTTCTGATATTCTTGACATCACAGAATGCAAATATAAGTAATAAACAACGATTATTCAGTGAACATGGCGTTATGAATACTAATGGCTCTGCTGGCATATTTTACATGATATGCGCTAACGCACATCATGGAATATGCCAGCAGAGCCATTGCTATTCATAACGCCATGTTTACTGAATAACGTTGTAAATGTTTATTTCTTAATTAAACTTCAATCTTTCATACGTGGTTGTCAACTCCAAAAGTATGCGTGCTAGTCATGTTGCTTTCCTTTTTTTTCAGTTTTTCTCTACTAGAAGATAGTAAATGTGCTTTTTGATTGTCCTTACTTCTGATAGTCATATATGCCAAGTATTATTTGTGCTCCTTTGTTTTAGTTTTTATTTGTTCTTCATCAGCATGATCAGCGATAGTAAATGTTTGTTCTGTATTGTGCTTCTACTTACCTGTGATAGGCCCTAGTCATAAATGTGCATTACAAATTATGCTGCTTTTTTTTTTATTTTGGTCTTTTTTTTGTAATTGCTAGTGTATGTGCTTATTTCCTATGGTTCATTTAAATTATGCTTTTACTAACTATCATGTTGTAAATTTTGAATTTACTAGGGGGAGGTAAATGCAAAATTTACAACATGGTAACTAGTTATCATGTTGTAAATTTTGCATTTACCTCCCCCTAGTAAATTCAAAATTTACAACATGATATAACTATGTATATTGTTAGTAACTTTTATCTATGTGTAAATTTGTTAAAGTCGGTTAAAGATCGAGCTATCACAGCTCATTTTATTCTGTTATACTGTATATACATGCCGACTATAAATAAAATTTACTTTACTTTACTTTAGCAATACATGAAAATCAATCAGTCAGTGTGCATTATAAAAAGACGATTCAGAGCGTACCTTGTCATGAAAAAGACTCAAAAGAAGTACCTTACTCTTAAAGAAGCTGTTATTACTATTCAAGCATGCTTGAGGGGTTACCGTCTATGCGTCATGAATACAAAAGAGAGAGGGCTGCAATTGTCAAGCTACAGTCATGCACCAGAAAGGTTCTCTGTCAGAGAAATTATGCAAGACTGAAACAAACCGTCATTAAAGTTCAAAGACGATATCGTCAAAAAGTCTGTGTTGCAAGAGTGAAAGAGGAATATATGACTATCAAGGGTGCATCCAATATCATTCAAGCACACTACAGAAGTTATCTTCAGAAGCGAGACTACAAACAACGATCATTTGTAGTTCTTCAAAGTGCCGCTAGAGGTTAATTGGAAAGCTAGAAGACAAGTAAAACAAAGAAAACTAGCAATTATCCATATTCAGGCTGTGGCCAGAAAGCTTATTGCTATACAGAGGTTTCAATCTTTGAAGAAATACACAGAATTATGTCAACAGCGCTACCAAGCCAAATTACATGGAAGATTGGTTCATCATCAGTATTTGGCCCTTCGTCAAGCAGCTGTGACAATGCAATCATTCTACAGAGGAAACCAGACTAGGAAAATGATGTTGCTGAGACAAGAGAGTGCCAGAAGAATTCAGTCTTGGTACAAAGGACGAAAACAATACATATTGTACACAGAAGAAAATCAGTCCTTATCTGTCAGAAAACCTACAGAGCTTGTAGGTTAGCACAGTCAGATCGAAAGAACTTCTTGGTCCTTAAGGTAGTACCTATGTCGGAAAAGTCTTTGTCACAAGATTTTCAAACTTTTCAAAATGATAAATTAGCTCTCGCTTATCAATCAGTTAAAAATATATGGTATGTTTCTTCGTTATTAAATGTAGTGCAGTCTGTGCAACTTGGAAGGATAATTTTACACAGAGACTACATATTTTCAGCCATTTTAAGGGTACTGGTCATAAAGAGAATATAATAAATCACTAACATACTTCTTCAAACATCGTCATTTATAGACTTTATTAACTGAACCATATTAAGCAATATTATTCAAGAATAAATTCTTTTTTATTCAATTGACATAAAAGATTAAGTCCACATTTCAACGAATATAGGCAAATGTGCTCAATATTTTTTGAGTCAATTTACCACCTAAATTTGTAAATATTTTTCAAAAGTCTTTGTCAGAATGTTTTCAATCTTTAATATGATGAAGAACATACCCAAATAATTACAAAAAGTAATTAAAATATATACCTTTCCCCGCAAACGAATGAGAACACTCTATTTATCCATACTTCTTTTGTTGACCTTTTTGCACTTACACAGGATTTAATTATTAAATTACTGTTTTGGGGTTACGTTCAGATTTACAATGTGAATATTTATCAAAAATGTATTTTTTTTTTTATTTAAAAAAATAATATTTTCGGGAAACATTATTATTATACACCAACCATTATGAATAATTAACAAATAATTATGAAAGGGAATGCACGTCATTTCATGATAGACATTACAAAATTTACACACAATTTTTAACAGATCTTTGCCTCAGACACTTTTCATCAAGATATTGTACTATTTAGATTTCTTAGGATTTTTGCTTTCCTTCAAAATAGTTGCATGCCATTCACATTATCACAGTTGTGTAACTTCATTACATGAGACATTCTTGAAGAAAGTACGGGAAAAAGTAACATTAAATTAATTATGACGTCATAATGGATCTAGCACCAAAAAAAACAGTCTAAACTAATTTTCTCAGTATGACGTCATACGACGTAGGTTCTACGTTAAAGGAGCAGTTCTTACTATACAGGTATTTTATAAAGGTTACAAGACAAGATGCATATACCAAAGAATGAAGCAGGCCATAGTTTTGCTCCAGTCTGGTTCTAGAGGTTTTCTAGAAAGAAGGAGGCTTAAGAAACTTCATGAAGCTGCGACTATAATACAGCAAGTTTTAAGGAAGTTTGTCATGGTTAGTCTTGCACCAACTTTGAAAATTTAAACTGGCTGGTATATTGGTTGGAACAAGTTGTAGTTCTGCAATAAGCATGTTGGTTTTGTTCGTCATAATTCCTTTTATCTGAAATGAATTTCTTTTGTGGCAGCAGGAGAAAGCAAGACAAACATATTTGTTACAATTCACCAGGAACGTAGAGATTCACCTGAAAGCAACAGTTATGCAGAGAAGCTACAGAAAACATGCATCACTTTGTGAAGCCAAGAAACAACTTCATAGCGCCCTCATAATACAGGTAAGGTTTTCAATTAATTTCTGATATGAATTGTATGATCAAATTTTCTGACTGAAATATCATTGATTAATGTTGGGGGTTCGAGGGCCAAAAATTGTGGGAAAAAAGTGTACTGTAGATTCCTTATTTTACGCGAGTACTTAATATAGCGAAATGGCCCAATGACGTCAAATCGCGAGAAAAATAATTCGCGAATGGGTGATTTATCTAGAGATTTTACATACATTAAAGCACCATAAAAATAAAAGCGAGTAATTTTATTTCACGAGCGGTGCTCCTCGTGTAATTATGCGATAATTTATTCCTCGCGTATATTTAGGAATCTACAGTATTGTCTTGCATGAAATTATATGTACATATGTGCTCATGGTATCTGACTATTGGTTCATGACATGCAAAGAACAAGTTTTGATAATTTTTATTTAATTAATTTTTGCAGAACTGGGTAAAAGGGAGACTGTGCCGCATTCGGTTTCTGAAGCTCAAGAGGTCTGTCCATGTGATTGAAACAGCAGCATTACAGTGGATACACAACAGTCATGATAAAGAAAAGAAACAACCAGCCACCAAAATACAGGTAACAAATATCAAACATGCTAACTGTTATTTATATTAAAGTAGTATATGTATTAGAGCTTTGGATTAAGATGCAGGTGTCCTATGTAGTAATCACCCTGTCCATTCAATGTGAATATACTTTAACTGGAGTCATTATATCATGTCCATCCTAAAAACAGACTTAAATTTACAATATAAGTGAAGGATGGCATGTTCAGACTCTACCATTTGGAAAAGGTCAAGGTTGGAATAAAGATCCTTGAGCATTTATGTAATACAAAACCGATGGTGTATAATTTATTTTTTTAACCTACATTCTTCATTTTTACCTGGTGGAGGATGGTTAGCAGAAACTTGTTGATTCTGAGTGGCTAGATTAGATTAGTATACAGTTAAAGTATATGATTGAGGGAGTTAGCAAGAATTTCCAGTTCCCCAAGGCCAGGACTATTTCCTGAGGCGAAGCCGAGGGAAATATTTCTGGTCGAGGGGAACTGGAATCTTGCTATCTCCCACAATCATGTACTTTTAACTGTTCTATTATACATGTACCGATACAAATGTAAAATTTAGAGGATTCAGATTGCGTGATTTCAAAGCAGGGATTAGCTCACTGAACTAACACACAGGGATAAGTCCATTCACATATCATACCATGTAAAAGTAAAATGAAGAGGATTTCTGATAACCGGGAATTAGCTTTCAAAGCAGGGATTAGCTCATTTGACTAACGCACGGGGATTAGTCCATTCATAACGATTTCTAGGGAATTAGTCACATCTAATGATCTAATGACAATGTTATTTAGGGAAAAAATCGGTAGAGGTATCATAATCACAGTTAACAGTGGAAATTATTACCCTCCCCTGCAAGTGAAGTTAGGGGGTGAGATATAGAAATTAATTTGTCCCTCTGTCTTATCTGCCTATCCATGCAATGCATCCTGAAAATAACTTTGGAAAGTAGCACAAAGATTGCATTAATAATGCTATGAGGATGTGTTATGACCTTGACCAAGGATCATTTGTAAAAGGTGGGAAACTGTTTAATTCGCCATTCCTGTCATGACGCTGTCTTGTAATGGAGAAACATGGGAAGCTCAAAGAAGCAAAAAATAATGCCTTATCTCCTGAAGGTGTGCTGATAGTGACTTGACTATATAAAGATCATTTTGAATTCTTCAAGGTCACTGACAGAAATGTTGTAATACGTAATTACATATATTCTTCCTTGCTTAAATACTTTACAGTATCAGCACCCACAGCCATATTTTGAGGAAAACCTGTGCTTGTATGTGTTATTCTATTTACATTTCTTAATTTTCAGGAAGAAGAGATAGAGGAAGTTCAAGAAAAACCAAAGAAATTGGGTGTATGTTTCATTAATTAATTTCTTTAAATGTATAGTAGAAAAAATTTGTTTTATAGTTTAGGTTTTATTTAATATAAGAATTCAAATACACTTTACATAATTAATTAGTTTGTGATTAACTGATTTTAGAATACAAAATGCTGTCATCTTTTATTTAGCAGTTCATGTTTTCGTTGTCACTAAAATAGCATTATGCTTAAACCCTACAAATATAAAATTTTTGTTTTATCATTGTTGTCACAAAGTTAAAGGTACAGAACCTTTCTAGGATGTCTAAAGAAATAGACTTAAAAGTAGCCATGTATGATTCTTTTGAAGTAGCTACTCAGTAATCCAATTATGATGTCACCAGTAAATTCATATACTTATAGCATCTCTTGACATCTGTATTTGGGTGAAGTTGGACAGGCCAATATTTTATGAACTTTATTCTATCATCTTCTTTCTACATTTCAGAAAATGAAAAGATTCCGAAAATGGCTGAAACGCACTTTCTGTTGCTCAGGATAAATGTAAGTAATATCACTATAATATGTTGAAAGATTTTTTTTCCCTCTGCTGTATTAATCACACTTCCCTTTTCTCCACTCTTAATCAGTTTTTGTTCTTATCCAAAGATGGAAAGTTGGCAATCAAAACTAGATGCTGTCATGAGACAGTAATACCCGCACTAAGGTGTTTGCCTCTAAATGCACACTCCTTCATAGTGGGCTTACCAAGGAAAAAGTCCAAATAATTCTATAATTTACACAGAACATGCATTCGTCAAATCGAGCATAAAATGCTCAGGTGACCATGTGACCCATGAACCTCTTATACGCATTTCATATACTTAATTCATTACCAGTCTGAAATAACAGAATTTAATTAATAATGTAAATTAAGTTTTGATAAAGGGGGGGGGGGATATAAATTTTTGGCCCATAATTGGAACTTTTTAAATTTATTTTCTCAACAACAAATAATATTATTTTAGTACAAAGCGTTTTTGATGAATTTATCAAAATGTGCAAACTTATTTTAGTATTTGATTAGGCAAAAACCTCCTTTAAAAGCCATACCCAATCAATTTTGCCCCCCCCCCCTCCCAACACACACACAATTTGCCTGTTTTTGGAAATAGGCCTAGATGGCAAAGTTATGTTAAAACATCGTTTGTTATGATAATTTAAAATTTGTTCTTGTACTGTACATGTATGTGAACACCTTTTTGAAAATTTCTACATCACATTGGGCTTGCGTCACCCTACCAGTACTAGTACTAGTTTTACCATTATCATTTTTAGATTGCACATGCCATGTGACATGGTGCAGTGTTACATGTATATCAGTGGAAATTAATTCATATTTGTGTTTTAATTGGATTATATTTCAAGAAGTTGACAGGACCTATGACAGTCAGTAAGTACAAGTTTAAGTATAGATTGGGGTAAAATAAACCAAAATGCAAATGGTTAGGTTAAAGTTTAAAAAGGATCAAAGATCATCAGCAATCTCCTATGCAGAGTTGTCGTTCGTTTCTCTCTCAGACACTGAATGTATGAGCCGATGGTAGAGAGTGGATCATCGGATGCCACAATAGACGAATCTCACATTCTGAAGAGTTATCTCCCGTTGTCGACATTACATTCAATTACAGGCACAGATCCGGGAATTTTTTTCCGGGGGGAGGGGGGGGGGGGGTCAACACCTCGGTCCAAAAAAATTTCCAGCCCAAAATTTCCTGAGGAGCAAAAAAAAAAAACAAACAAAATAAAAACAATGATGGTGGGCCGGGTCCATGTTTTTAAAGGGGGAGGGCATCCAAAGTCATTTTTTATTTGCTTCTGTAAATCAGTATATAGTCCTATTTAAATAACTCTGCAAATTCCAGGGGGGGGGGTTCCAATCTCCCTAGCTGCTCCCTGTCCCTGAAATGACAAATGATCACGTGACTCCTAAATAGTAGAAAACTTTTCCATTTGACTATACATAATTTTGTTTCTTGTGTTATTATGTTATGTACATCTAATGGTTTAAGGTTATGAACCCCTGGAGGTCATCCCCACTCTCTTAATGAACTGGAAATGTTCATAATATGACTACATCAAATTAAATAAAAGTGCATCAATGATAAGATTACTTGACATTTCATTCATGAATTTGGGTCAACCCTTGTACCCTCCTAGAATTAGGAATGAAAATCATTCAAAGAGATGGACCATTAAACTATTTGTATATATTCACATTTTTTTTTATGTCAAACGAAAGTATTAGACTAGTTTGCATACATGAACAAACAGGGGTCTGGGAAGGGGAAGGGGCAAGGGGAAGGAGTCATCTCTTTACGTCTTAATTGTTGAAAATTCCTAAAATGAATGTTAACCTCAAATCCGACTTGTACGTCTTCATTACTTTTAAGTGGTGGTGTCTCCGTATGAGTGAAAAATTCCCAAGAGGGACATTTAACAACAAACAAACATTAATGACTTAAAAAACACAATATACATGTACATGTTTATTAGTCAATGGATATACTTCTATCATATCCCTAGTTCTCCTTTGAATCAGAAATGATGATATAAATATTTTAAGAATGATTAAGAGTTGAAAAGGTTGTGCATTTTAAAATTCACTAAGCTCTGTGGTTGAATTAGCTATACCAGTTTAGCTTATTTTGCTACTCAAAGCACCTTGATTAACTATTTTTAATCATACTGTTTTCTGAAATGTGAAGTTTTTTCAACATGGATACAAGTCATACCTTTTCAGCTTCTGAAAACAATGCATGAAAAAAAAACTGCTTTTCAAATACTGTAACTCTTTCGAAGTACTTGTGATCATCAGTTTTTAGCTCACTTGAGTTTTTCTGGTTTTCTGATCACATTTTGTCACCCATCTGTCCGCCTGTAAACTTTTCACATTTTTGTCTTCTTCACTAGAACCGCTGGGCCAATTTCAACCAACCCTGCCACAAAGCATCTTGGGTAAAGGGGATTCAAGTTTTTTCATGTGAAGGGTCACACCCTTTTTCAAGGGGGGATAATCAAGAATTAGTGAAAATTTGGTGGTATCATTTTTAAAAAAGGCTTAACAAGAACCACTGACTGGGCCCAAAAAGTTGAAACTTTCTTTACATAGACAGTGTAGCTTCAAATTTGTTAAAATTATGACCCACTGGGGTAGGGTGGGGCCACATATGGGGATCCAATGATTTACATAGAAAAATGCAGGGGATTTTTTCCATCATAAATCTTCTTCTCATGAACAACAAGGACATTATTGTCGTCCATTTTCACAAAAGGGACCTAGGGGACATTAAATCTCATTTGTCTGTCAGTCTGTCCGTTTGTCTAGCTGTCCGTCTGTCACAATAAATTTAACCTTGGTCATAACTTCTGAATAATAAGAGATAGGGCTTTCATATTTCACATGTACATTACCTACAAGAACTTTCTAAACATACCATGATTTTTGAACCCATGACCTTCACCTTGAAGTTTGACCTACTTTCCAAAAAATTTAACATTATTTTAAATGATCATTTTTGAAAGAGAAAAGATAGGGCGTTCATATTATACATGTATATTACCTGTGACAAGACCTTTCTAAATATATCATGACTTTTGACTCTGTGACATTGAACTTGAAGTTTAACCTACTTTTCAAAAATGTTATATTTCCTTATAACTTTTGATTGAGAAGAGATAGGACTTTTATATTTGACATGTACATTACCTGTAACAAGATGTTTCCAAGCATGCTATGATTTTTTTACCCCTTGACCTTGATGTTTTTTACCTAATTTTCAAAAATTTTAACTTTGGTGATTACTTTTGAATGACATATGATAAGGCCTGCATATTTGAAACAATATGTCATAAATAATGGCATCCCATCCACTAGGACACGGAAAGCAGGGGACCACAATTCTTTGAATTTGCTTGTTAGTCATTTTGATATATTTACATTTCCAGGTATTTTTCCTTAAGATTCTTTGCAAATTAGATGATTGTTCATTTTCTCATGAACTACCATGAAATGAGCATGAATATCTCCATTGTTACGTCATAATACTGTACTTGACGTCAAAACTATAGTGCAAACTGTTTTGCTTCAAAAATGACAGTTGAATGGCGTAACTTGTGGAAACTCATCAGAAAAATAATGTAAATATAAGAAATGAATTTAATTTTTGAAAATTCATGAGGTACATGAACTACAACGCTTCACGCCAGCATATTTAACATGAAGCGCTAACACGCTTCATGAAATATGCCGGCGTGACGCGTCGTAGTTCATGTCCTCATGAATCTTCAAAAATTAAATTCATTTCTTAAATGGAAACATCCTCATATAGTGTAGATTCAAGTTTTTTATGCCCTGCCATGAATATGGCCGAGGCATATAGTGTTTGTCATGTCCGACTTCAATAAAACGTCATATGCTGATACATACTGATGTAAGCTTTTGAACTGCATCAAAATTTTTGACCTTGACTTTTCCTTTGACCTTGACCTTACTTTTCTTAAATTAGTGTCTAGATCAGTTTTGAATAAACAATTCAAGATATATTTATCAAACTTCATATGCTGATATATACTGCTGAGAGATATCAATTGCATCAACTTTTTTGACCTTGACTTTTCCTTTGACCTTGACCTCACTTTTTTAAATTAGTGTTTATCTACATTTTAAAACGTAGATAAGCTCAGTTTTAAATAAATCATTCAAGATATTTTTATCAATTTGAAACCTAATATGCTGATATGTATTAGTGAGAGCTATTCAACTGCATCAAAAACTTTTCACCTTGCACTTTCCTGTGACCTTGACCTCCCTTCTCTTTAAGTTGTATTTTGCTTAGTTTTAAAGAAACAATCTAAGATATATTTATGTAAGCATGCACTTATACATAATTTTGTGAGAATTTATCATCTATATCCATTTTTTTTAGATTTTAGTTTCAATTTTAAAGAAACTGTTCAAGATATTCTCATCAAACTTCATACACTCATACAAATTTTCATGTTGCATTAGTAATATACATTCGGCGGGGCATTTATGTCCTATGGACATATTTCTAGTTTTCAAATCATGACCTCCGAGGATAGGGTCAGGCCACAATAAGGGATCAAAGTTTTATAGAGATTTAAAAGGAAAAAAAAATCTTCAAAATTCTTCTTTTTAAGAACAACAAAAGCATGATTAATATGGAAACATTCCCAAGAAGTGTAGATTCAAGTTTGTACAAATCATGACCCGATGGGTTAGGGAGGGGCCATTTTTTTCCTGCCCCTATTTGCTATCCACATGGAAATGCAAATTTTAAAACCATTTTACACATCCACAGGACAAAATAAATCATCTTCCAAATGATCATGATTTAAGGCCAGTGCATAAAATACTAGATGCTGTCATGAGACAGTAATACCCGCACTAAGGTGTTTGCCTCTAAATGCACACTCCTTCATATTGGGCTTACCAAGGAGAAAGTCCAAATAATTCTATAATTTACACAGTACATGTATTCGTCA